TCTTCTCTATAAGGTGACTCTCTGTTGTGAAGAAAGTGATCTTGTGTAGAAGCAACATCTGTATGGACTGTGTGCCAGGTAGTTATGGCAGGCTGGTTGCAGCCAGGCAGATGCTTACTATGTCTGGCTGTCTGGGCGTTGGCTTGCCCAGTTGGAGCAACTCCAGGCAGGAAGGCCAGGTGCTATGTGGTGACACCTGGTTGATCCTGCTTGCTCCCTGGGCCAAATGAATTCTGGGCAGTGTGGTTGGGAACGTGCTACAGCTATCTTGCAGGTATGCCAGAGCACCTGGATAGAGTTCCTGCTCACTCTTACCAAGGTGGAGGAGGATGTCAACAATGGCGCTCACCAGCTCCTCCAATCCTCTAGAGCAGTTTCCCAAAGTATGGTACACGTACCCCCAGGAGTACAGGAAGAGTTTGGTGGGTATATGCACTGCACCGTGCTTAGCTGCGCCTAATTCTGTTTTCGGTGTTATGTGTACCCCTTCTATAATTTTCATATGTCCTAAGTTTGGGAAACACTGCTCTAGAGCTCTAGTGGTTACCCAGCCTCCTCTACTCAGTCTCTTAATTCATCTGTTGTGCAGAAGGTGTTCAGTCAGCCTTCAGTTGCCTCTCAGGAAGAACTGCCCTCTACATAGGTGTACATTTCAGGAACTCGTGAGGGAGCAAGTGTCCTCCTATGCCACCATCACCCCGTAACTGTCCCAGTTGTCACTCTTAAATGAGAATCAACTTGTTACTCCTCTTCTTAAAATTCTTCACTTGGACCTCATGTTCTTCAAATGAAATCCAGACTCCTTAGCAGGAACCCCAACTTCATTTCTCAATCGGTTTTCTCCCTGTTCCTAAATTCAACAGACCATTTCCCCCCAAAGCCATGCTCCTCTGCCTGAGAACTCCTTTAGGTCCTTTGCTTGGTAAAATCCTTCTCATCTTCCAAAACACCGCTTGGCTTCTCTCCCCTAGGAGGACTTCCTCCACACCTCTCCTATGAGCTCTCAGAGGATCGTGTGTGCTTGTTGCTGCACTCACCACATTCTTCTATTTTACTGGCTTGTCTTTTCCACTAGGAACATGAGGACAGGGAAAAATCTAGGATCCTATTATATCCGCTAGTAGCCAGGTCAGAGGCCTGACACAGAGTAGACACACAATAAATGTTTTAATGAAAAGTAAATACCCACTATCTATAAATCTCACTTTCAACTGGAAAATATCCAATCTCTCTGAAACCTATTAGGTCTAGTAATAATTAATGTCGTTTTCTAATACTTTTTTTTAAAATCGAATTTATTTAAACAATACAACAAAATTTAATCAACAATATAGTTGCCGTTGTTTTCTACTACTTGTGCCCAACGCTCAGGAAGCATTTTAATCCCTCTGTTGTAAAATTCTTGTGATTTTGATGCAAAAAATTCGGTCAATGCATTTTTGAGGCATTCTTCATTATTAAATTTTTTTCCAAGAAGAAAGTTTTGCAAAGAACGAAACAAATGGTAATCGGAAGGGGCAATATCAGGAGAATATGCAGGTTGAGGGAGAACTTCCCATTCCAACTGGCACAGTTTTTCAGCAGTGATTCTTGCAGTATGCGGTCATGCGTTATCGTGGTGAAGAATTACGCCCTTCCGATTAATCAGCGCGGGTTCTTTTTCTCTTAAAGCTTGGGCTAACCTTTCCAATTGGGCACTATACACTGCACTTGTAATGGTTTGGTTAGATGGTAAAAGTTCATAATGAAGAATTCCTTTAAAATTCCACCAAACACACAACATCACTTTTTTCGCATGCAAGTCAGGTTTTGGCGTGGGCTGCGGAGCCTCATTTTTGTCCAACCATTGAGGCCGCCTTTTCAAATTAACATACAGCACCCATTCTTCATCTCCAGTAACAATTTGCTCTAAAAACGGCAAACTGTTTTGACGAGAGAGGAGCGAACTGCAAATTGTGACTCTTTGATTACGGTTGTTGTCAGTCAACTCATGAGGAACCCATTTTCCAAACTTTTGGACTTTGCCAAGTGCACGCAATTGATTGGAAATTATTTTTGTGCACAATTTTAAGTTGTCACAAGCTCTTGTTGGGTAATTTGAGGATTTTGCACCAAAAGAGCTTGAAGAGCTTCTTGATCAAAATTGGACACACGGTCTCGACCACTCTTGTCATCTAACGAAAAATTTCCCTCGCAAAATTTCTCAAACCAACGCTGGCATTTTCTGGCGCTAACTGCATCTTGACCAAGAGCACTACAGATGTTTTTTGCAGCCTCACTTGCTTTTCTTCCTAATTGGAACTCGTAAAGTATGCAGTGCCGAATATGCTCTTCATCCGCCATCTTCTTAGCCCTAGTTTTGCAACAAAAACCAAACCAAACACAAACTTTTTCAAGCAAAACTTATTAATTGCACTTCACACGTTCTGTAGATACCACATGTTTGAAGGTTATGTCAATACAAGTCAACGCCAAGCAAGATTTTAAACAAATGTTTAAAAACGACATTAATTATTACTAGACCCGATAAAAACAGACCATTGTCTTCCCCCTTTGACTACGTTTATAGCCAGAATGATGACTTTGTAACATATGGGTCATATCCTTGATAACATTTCAGAGTTAGGAGCTAAGTGCATCATTTATGACATCAGGAAGGAAGCCAACATTTGTAGAGCACCTATGTGCTGCCATTGTACACTAAATTTCTGCTGTCCATTACTTCAGTCTTGACAATTCATGGGAAGTCTTTTTAGCTTTTTTGGTAAAGAACCTGAGGCTTAGGAATTTGCCCAAGGTCACACAGCTAGCAAGTGAGGAAGCCAAACTAACACAATGTGCAAGATCAGGATTAAATTTTCTTCTAAATGAACTAAAAAAAAATGAGTTTGGCTGGAACTAAGATTTCCCACAGGGCTGAAAAAATGATGAAGGCAGCAAATAACTTGTCCATCTCAGACTATGGGTATGCAATTTTAACAACATAAACTAAAAAACAGCCTTGTTCCTGTTCAGTTTAAATAACGCTCACGCTGTTGCCATCCTGTCAAATAACAGACTCATCAGACCTTCAGTTTGAACTATTTCAAAACAACTTCTCAAATTTATTGAACTCATGGGATAATATGGTAGAGTTTTGTGTAAAGAAAAAAAAAGCCACCGCTTACTAAATCTTGCAGACAGCTAGGAGTTTAGGCAGCATTACTGGGCATAGTAATCACAGGATCACTATCACAGAATCTGCATTTTCCTTTCAACCAGCACCGAAGGTTTCCAATTCTAAATTTAGCTTACTGGAGACCTCAGCATAACAATTTTTTAAAAAAGAGACTGAGTTGATTTTTTTTTTTTACTTCAATTTAGAAAAATGACCAGAGGCAATGACAAAAATAACCATTTAAAAGGGATCCCTCTCCAGAAATGTTTTGTAAAGGTCCAGGCTTTTTTAAGTTTTTTAAGTTCAGGCTTTCCATCTTTTTCTCCATCCTTCCAGATTTAAAAAAGACGAGATTGGAATATGTCATCCTGTACTCGGCTTGCTACACAAAGCCTCTGCCTTTACAAGACCTAGATGTAATGCCAGGACTCACCCCCCAAACCGCTGGGCTTAATCAAGTCCATGGTGCCTGGCTGGAGAGCCCTCCGTGACTGCTGCTCAAGAGACTGCTTTTCACCCCAGGTCCGTCACAGTACTGGCTTTGAACGGTAGATGGCTGACTATCACGTAGGACTGTGGTCGGCAAACTGTGGCTTGCAAGCCACATGTGGCTCTTTGGCCCCTTGAGTATGGTTCTTCCACAGAATACCACGGCCTGGGTGAGTCTATTTTGAAGAAGTGGTATTAGAAGAAATTTAAGTTTAAAAAATTTGGCTCTCAAAAGAAATTTCAATCGTCGTACTGCTGATACTTGGCTCTGTTGACTGAGTTTGCCGACCACTGACTTAGGACATACACCAGGATAAGATGGAAAGAAGTCAGACATCCCTTGTCTGTTCGTAGAGTCATACCAACAGTCAAGCCTGTGCTTCCATCCCCAGAGCCCACTGCAGCCACTGCCACACCCCCTCCATCCATTGAGCTCACTGTGCAGCCAGAATGGAAGTTGTTAAAAGTTATCACTGCAATAGATGACTTTCCTTAAGTAACAAATGACAATATTTTATTTAATAGCAGTTTAGTCCTAACAACTCCGTCTCTCCATCTCTTTTTGGGGAGCCTGGACTTTTAGGCAAATGGGAGGGTTAAAAATACAGAGGAGCAACATCTGCATAGTAAACGTGTGCTTTTCTCTCTTCCTCATGACCTTCTTACAGTTTCCTCAAGAAGAAATTTTATTAACTGTTACATACTGCGTGTAGGAAAAGATTCTCCTTTTCGCCTTCATTTCATTGTATGGGTTTCACTTTCAGGTACTAACAGGGGGAAAGGAGAGAGGGAAGGAGACAAAAATCACAATAACGGTGTAAAGCGCGCCCTGTGTGAGCAGCATGAGCCATCCTCTAAGCCTAAGGCCGTCAGTGCTGACCCTCAGTGATTCTGGTGGAGTTGAATACATCATTACACTTCTATTTGCGCTCCGCCTGAGGCTTTGCCCAACCACTAATTTCAAATGAAGGTCTAGAGAGCTTTTGTGAAAGGGGTAGATCCCAGCAATGCGCTGGTAGGTAGCCAGGTGTCCGTGCACTTTATAAGGGAGGAGAGGATTACAGAGAGGTTTCTGTTGCAGCCTCAGTCCAACTCAAACTTAAAAGACTTACAGAACATGGCTTCACACAGAACTGTGTTAGTGGGGAAGGGATGATAAGGGGAGTGGTAAACACATCCAGTAAAATTGAGGGATAAGAAAATACCCACACAAGTCCATGGAATACAAAGGAACACAGAAGAAGACTCCCTGAGCCATAAGTGCATCAGGGCACAAGGTAGGTAGGGTGCAATGGATTAGCCACTAAACGGCTTCAGTAATAATAATTCTGAAACCTGTTCTAATTTTTTGTTGTTGAGAAAATCTTCTCCTGGACGGGTCAAAGATTGTGCTTTAAAAATGTCATTAGAAGGTAACAGTTTTTTAAATATTCGTTTGCCTCTTGCTTCCAGGTGATTTCTTTTTGGTTAAAAGCCAGCAGTACAAACCCTTCAAGATGGAAGAACAGTCTTCTGACAGAGGTGAGGCGCTGGGTGAACTTACACAGTAAGTGAGAGTCTGTATGTCTTGGTCTTCTCCCTGACCACTCCCCATCGCTGCCCTCCAGAGACGGCAGCTCATTTCCTCTGGAAGAAGCCAGTGATGGACACTTGTCTATTGGCTTTGCCCAGAGCAGCAGTCCCTTTCTTGGGGCCCTTTCGTTCCTCTTTGGGTTCTTTTTTCACAGTCACTGCTGGGGGTCTGTGTGTAGAAGATGTCTTCATCTTAAGTTCCTCTTCACTATCTGTGCAGGATTCACTCTCGTAGACTTTCTCAGTCACTGGTAGAATAAGGGGAAAAATGGAACATGAGTGGCTGAGTCATTTAGAATGCTATTCCATCAAAAGAATGAGAAGTCTTGTCCTCCCAGATCCCCTCGGACACTCCGATAAGGAAGGTGTGCTCATCGACTACCAACGTTTTCTCCCCCTGGCAGATCAGATCCAGCCTCAGGTAGGAAGTATGTGGCATCTTGAGATCACAGCCTCTAGTTGGGGTTCAGAATCAACACTCACCCTTATTCCCTCACTGCTATGTCCCATACCTTTATTTTAAATATATTTTTATTGATTTTAGTGAGGAAGGGAGAGAGAGAAACATCAATGAAAGAGAATCATTGATTGGCTGCCTCCTGCACATCCCCCTCTGGGGATCAAGCCGACAACCCAGGCAAGTGCCCCGACCATGAATCAAATGGCGACCTCCTGGTTCATAGGCCTTTTTCAACCACTGAGCCAGGCGGGGCTGTCCCAGGCCTTTATCATTTGACTGCCCTAATCCTGCTTTGGGATCTTGCTCTATGCTAGTTAATTTCCTGAGCTCTAGTAGTGCCTGCCTATTTCCACTGATCATTTTCCTGGTCTTAATCTCTGCTCTATTGGCAGTTTTGATCCTGTCTAGCCAGGCTCCCCGCCATGGACTCTCTGACTAGCTCTATCCTGATGTCACTCACTCTCTGCACATCCTAAGTATAGAGAATTGGACATTAGATACTCAATTGTTCAGTTCTTGGTTTTGAATGAATGTTAATTAACCCAAGATTTACGTGGTCTAAGTTTATGTCATAAAGAGAACTGTCCCAAGCAAATTCTATCAGATGACAAACTTGATAATTTCAAGGAATGATCATAATACAATGAGAAGCATAGTTACTAATTCTCTTACTCCATATCAGCCAATAAAACTCACTGAAACATGCCTAATGAAAAGCATTATACTAGTGAACAGACATTATGAGAAAGCTCCAAAGGGCACAGACCATGTCACAGAACTGATATTATTGCAATGCATGTGCCAATACAAGAAACGGAACTGCCACCTTCCTGTGACTGAGAGAGCTGAAGCAGCTGTATAACCAATGTCATCTAACTTCTCCCTCAGGCTTCCTGGTTGCAGCAAATGATGGTAGAAAAACATCTTAGCTGAATAGAATCACCCAATATACATAATAAAAACTCAGATGATTAAAGTGAAAGGTATTTTTTTCCCATTTAAGAACAAGCATAGTTTTAAGCTCATAATTACTGACCATTTCTAATAAAATATATTAGTCAAATGGTTCTATAGGCAGAAGCACTGGAATCAGTATATCTGTGTTCTAATTCCTGGTCTGCCATTTATACAATTTCAAACTTTGCCGTGCATCAGAATCACCTGGAGGACTCATTAGAACACAGGCTGCGGGACTCCATGTCCAGAGTTCACATCCAGTAGGTCTGGGACCTCGTTGTGAGAGTCGCTTCCCTTGCCTTCCATCAAGTGGGAATTACACTGCCTCACAGAACACACAGATGCACGTAGTAATCTTTGGCAAGCATCCTTCTACTTTCTCCCTCGCAATGGGCTATGCTGGCGGTCAACTGGCTACTCCTTCGCTTCATTCCCTCTGATGTCATTAAGGTTGCATAATTAACAGTCCCCTCCCCAAGAGCTGCTAGGATGTGTCATTACTCTCAAGAGCCCAGAATTTACTTTGCTGACTCCTGCCAACTTAGAGGCTAAAACACTGATAAGCGTTAAATATGTATTAAGTGTTCTCAAAGGCTTCCTACTCAACTTTGTTCCACAGACGAGAGGGCATTAAAACTCCCATGAGCTCATTAGCAAGGTTTCAAGTCATGCATCTACTCAAAGTTTGAGAAACGTTGCTCTAAAATACTTAGGGAATTTCCTTGATATACCTATTAGTTCAGCAGTTACAATCCCATAAGACCATCCCCATCTTGTACACAACTTCAAAAGCATTATGTAACTAGATTACTGGAACAAAATTAAGAACTGTAATTTACTCAGTATCTCAAAGTCTGAAGAGCATCTATACAGAGAAAAGAAACAACTTACTAATTGCTCCTTCATAAGCTACATTCTGTATTCAAATGGCAGCATGTCTATAATATTAAACTCCAGCATCAATTAGCTCATTATTTCATTACTTACTAATGAAACCACTGGTTGTCTCATTGCCAAATTTGCACAAGAGATTGCTCAGGGTTGGGGTTAAAAACCAGTCAGGGCAGCTCACTAAGTATACCTTACGAGCTAAAAGGAACATTTTCTATACTAAAAGCTGTAGCTCCTTCAAACTACAGGCCAAAAGGGATTTTAAGTTAAAAATATAGGATCTTTATTTTAGCTGAATAACAGGCCACTTTTCTCAGATACCATTTTAAAAGTCCCGGTTTGAAAAAGATAAAAAGGCCCATTTTGCATGGGTAAAACATCAGAATCCTCTTCAACCAACTGTTTTGCTTTAGAAATTCACCTTGTCCAGAAGTCCACCACAAACTTATCAGTCCCTGCAGTAAACCCAGAGACCAGCTCTGGTCCAGCACAGGACAGGGCAGCCACTGTGCCGATACATCTGGAACAGTCTGAGCAGAGAGAGGAAAGCTGAGCTCCTTTGTCAGTAATGGAAGCCAAGATTCATTAGGTTGAACTTGGACTAAAAAGCTTAAAAAAAAACACACACACACACACACCAAACTGCTATGTGAGCATAGTTTTCACTGTTGCATCCAAGGCTCTTAAAGTCCTGTCTGAAGATGGAACTGCAAAAAGGTCCATATCCCACACCTGGCCAAACGTAAAGCCACAAATTCCCAATGAACGCTCACAAAGATTTATGTGACACTTTTATTTTGGAGTAGGAGGAGAAAGAAACTAGCACTGGAGCTTTTGTCCTCTTATAGTTAAAAGAAAGAGTAAGAAATTTAACAGAAAATACATATATTACTACCAACTGTCAAACCTCAAAACAAAAAAGACTACTACTCAAAGTTCAGAATTCATAGGCTCGCAATAAACCTGGCACTGCAGACAGAATTTCCACATGTAAGGAATTTTATTCCCCAATCACATGCTACAATTAAAATTCCTTTTCAAAGGAATGGGAGGTGGGAAATAATGGGACCAGGTTCACAATTTATGTCTTCACTAGTTTTAACCACCACAATGCCTGGGAAAACTGACTCTTCAGTCAATATTCTTGAGACAAAAATTTCGACAAGAAAAGGGAAAAAATACTTCTCTAGGAGAACCAAGCTGCGGCAGGTGCCACAGGAGAGAAGAAACAACGATTATGGCTAATCCAATTAACAACAGGTTTAAACACAGACACACAGTGCTAGGACCTGAGCACCCCATCAGGCCAAGCCTGAACGCCCCACGGAAGTACGGTTCGTTTGTGGAAAAGGCACAACAAGCTAAAACGTGGCCGAAGAATAAGCCAATGACTCAAAGCCTGAATTCTTTTCTTAAAATTGCAGTACACCACTGTATATTGTGAAATGATAACTGCTGTAGGTTTAGTTAGTAGGTAACGTCTATTATATAAGTAAAAAGAGAAAGCAAAAGCTTTTTCTTCGTGAAAACTTCAGATACATTCTTTACTTCCATATACATCGTGGAGCAGTGTTAACAATATCATCATGCTGTACATACATCCCTAGTACTCACTTACCTTGTAAGTAGAAGTTTGTACCTTTTAACCAACTTTTTCCTATCCCCCTGCCTCTGGTAACCACAAATCTGACTGCTTTGTCTATGAGTTGCTTTTTTAGGTTCCACATGTAAAAGAGATCACACAGTATTTGTCTTTCTCTGTCTGATTTATGGTTTGACCCTCAAGGTCTACCCATGTTGTCACACATGGCAAGATATCTTCATTTATATACATTTTGATTTCAGAGAGGAAGGCAGAGGGAGAGAGAGACAGAAACACCAAAGATGAATCATTGCTCGGCTCCCTCCTACAGGCCCTGAACTGGGGACTAAGCCCACAAACCCGGGCATGTGCCTTTGACTGTTCAGTCCGCAGGCTGACACTCTACCCACTGAGCCAAACAAGCTAGGGCTTCATCTGGCTGAATAATATTCTGTACACACACACCAACTTCTTCATTCATTCATCTGTCAATGGATACGTAGGTTGTTCCAAAGCCTAAATTCTGTTCCCCTCTAGGCCTCCATAAAAAGCACATCCATTTACCTAACATGGCTTACAAATAGGAAATATTAAAGAAGTGATTTGGAAGAGTCAAACCTCTATGAAGAACAAATGGAACAAAATACCAAAGACTCATGAATCTCTCCTCAGTCTAATCATCTGTAGGAGCTCCTTTTCCACTGTTCAAATGTATAAAACGACCATTCTAAAAAAAAAAAAACCCAATATTTTGGTTTTGGGTCAATGATAGCATCTTAAGCTGGTATTGTAATTTCCATCTTGAAAGTGTTTTTAGATATATTACCTCACCTGAATCTTCACAACAACCCACATGTAGGCAAAATAAGGAAATTTAGCTCCATTCCATAGGTCAAATTCCCCACCAGAGGTGACAACTTTCATCCAGGATCTCAAAGCTTATTTCTATAGTGCGTGGTCCAGACAAGAGCAGGTGTTTACCTGTAGTTGTAGTGGTCCCCTACCATCTATTCAAGTGTACGCCAAGACAGGCAGCCAAGCACCGCCGGGGGTTGGGGGGATGGGGGGGTCACATGCACGCTGCCCTATAAAGGACCATGGTGCCTCTGAGGTAATAACTATCTCTGAATTTGGAATCCCAAATTTTTCTTACCTATGCAGCCATCCTCATCCACAAAGGTTTTAGATTTCAGCACCCGCTTTCGTTTTCTTTTGTTTTCTCCACTTAAGCTCTGAAAGACCAGAGATAACATTAAGGTGACCAATAAAACTACAAAGAAAAATAGAAGTTTAATTTATAACAAGCAATCTCCAATACTCCATGATGGTAAGCTGAACGAGGAATTCAATACATTTCCTTTTAGAGGACCAGCCCTACCACACAGACAAGTTATGGTCATTGCATGTGCCAGCCTGATGTTTCACTGTTTATGAGAAGAAAAGTAACATACTGAGCAAACATCTGTGTTCATTCAGCAACATACTTTGTTGAGCAGTGCGGGCACCATGGGTTAAAAAGACCAATAGGACAAGAACCTTAATGGAGAAGACAGGCCGCTACTGGAGAGCCGAGGGAGGGGTTATGGGAGCACACAGGGAAGGCCCCTAAACAGACCGGAGGTTTCCATGATATCTGCCCCTGCTATAGATACTGGCTATTTCAGCCTTGACACTGCAAGATAGGCCCATCTAATTTAGTCTCAAACTGGTATTTTACTTTATCTCCATAGGTCTTTAATCCCATATGCTCTTCAGCTAATGAAGAAATCAATGCAAAATTTAAATGACAGTCTTTAATACAATGAATTCAGGAAAAATGACAGACATAACGGAAAAAGAAACTTGTCAGCACCTTTCTTTTCAACTCTTCATTATTTACACTAACGGCTATAGACAAGGTGCAGCTAGAGATCACTCAAAACTGCATTTCCCCATTTGTTGCCAGCTTTCCTCATCCAGCCCTTTTCCAGAAGAGTAACCAACATGCATAAGCTGTTTGTGCTCACTGCTCTGATGCAGGCAAGACCTCATTTTGCACAATTCCAAAGGGAGTTGGGTAGCACAGCAGCCCTGATGCTGGAGATCAGGGAAAACTTTGACCTACAGCTGAAATCTCACGTCAAGTGAGAAGACAGGGAATGTCAACCGTGTCTTCTTACCACTTATAGGAGAGAATGAGACAAGAGCCATCTACTGGCATTTGTGAAGTATACAGCAGAGAACAGATTTAGGTCCTTGGGTGAAAAAGAGCACACGGAAAGGCAGCCATCCCAGTAAAGTTGTACCTTGACAGAAGGAGGCTCTGGCTCAGTCTTCGTCGCTGGTTCAGGAGGTGGAGACGCAGAAGGAGGTGGGGATGGTGACTCAGCTTCATAAATCCCAGGAGAATCTGGTACAACTGAAATTATGAAACAGCTTAGATAAGAGAACTACAGGCACTATCTGGTACATCGTCTTCTCCACTGGCTCAGTTTCCAGATCCAGCAAAGGACATTTTGCAGGCAGTAATTCATGACAACCAAGGACTCTGTAGTTAATATCTCTCTACACAAATATATCTTTAAAATATACATAATTTTATACAAAGAAAATTAGACAATCAATTATTAGAGGTAGAATGTACCTTAGAGATGATCTTAGCTAAATCTTATTTTACAAATATGTCATGTATGAAGTTGTTTTATAAATATCCACTGATCACCTACTGAGTCATGGATATCACATAAATTGTTTCACTTTATCCTCACAACAATCCTAAGAGACAAATATTATTCACACATTAGAATTGAGTAAACAGAGGTTCAGAGAGGTTAGACAAGGTCACAGAACTTGCAACTGAGGCAGGTTTTAAAGTAAGTCCATCTAATTTCTCAACCTTACTCCAACTATCCCATGCTGCCTTACCATTCAGAACCAGACATTTTCTCTTAAGATCAAGAAAATGGAGTTAATCTCAGATTATACCATCTGTCCCATGACAGAGTCTTTGTGACCGTGGTCTGAGGATTCTTTGCAATCACATGAGATGTTAAGACAAACTTTCCAGCTGATGTTAAAAGCATAAACTTGGGGCCCCTTTGAAATGATCACAATTGGAGCTCTAACAACTAAGACCTGTTTATTATGCTGTAAGGCAGGCATGGGGAACACCTGACCCACAGGCTCTATCAGGCCTGCAAAATCATTGGTCTGGCCCTGCCAAGGTAATAGGGGTGAGTTAATTTAATGTTTGACCCAAGATAGCAGGCTGATTTTTAAGTTGATAATTTTATATGGCCCACAAATTATGTTACAAATATCCAACGGGTCCCTTGGGGGTGTGGGGGGAGGAGTGCCCCACTCCTGCTGTATGGGAACTATTTCTAGCGATGGCCCCACTGTCGAGGCCTGTTTTGCTATAATCTAAGAACACTTTTCTGAAAGAAATCTTGCTAAAGAAGTGATATCACCGAGAAGAGAGCGCCACCAGGAGGATCCCATCCTTTCCAAACAGTGGTCTTAGTAGAAGGCCCATGAGAGGGGAAGTGAAAATCCTCAGCTGACCTATTGCTTAATCACCACAAAGAAACTGCTGGTCAAGGGCCTGGGTAGCTGCTTAGCCACACCTGTTCCCTGAATGGCCTGGCTGTATCCAAATTCTTAGCACAAGTCTTGGATCTGAAATCCTCCCATCTGATTAGGTCAGTGTTAAAAATTATGACAGTGGAGGGTCTAAGGCCAAATGACCTAAAGAGATGAAGCAGAACGAGAGCCGGAACAAAACAATAAATATACACTTCAAGTATGAAATGGGCCCCCAAACTTTATAGGCTCTGGGACACAAGAGAGACACATAAAAAGAAAGTGGTCCAGCAATTATCCCCGCTCTGGGAGGCAAGAACCTGAGGGGTGCTCAAACCAGCAAAAAGAAAGTTAAACCACAGGACAGAGCACCAATTTTTCTGACCTGTAACTATTAAGAAAACTGTCCCAATGTGTTACCGTAGCAGGAGAAAAGTTTATGCAGTAAGGGAGCCAAAGAAAAGGGATTCTGAGTACTCACAGTAATAAACTCGGGAGTACTTACTCTGTTTACAGTTCGGTTACCTACCTGACTTAAGCAAGGAAAGCACTTAATGCTGGTGGCACCTTCTAAGACCCCTTTTCACTGCAATGTATGAAACTGTTAATCCAGATCCCCGCCTCCGGAATCTAAGCTCCAGAGGCATAGGTACCATGACTTCACTGGCACTGAACACACAGCAACCATACCTTATTTTTAAATAAAGAAAATCATTTTCTGAAATAAATCTGAGATGGGGGGCTTCTCTGTCAAGGAAGATTCTCCACTCACCCCAGAGAAAAACATTGTAATGATAAAGGAATGAAGATATAAATGCCCCACCTCATGCCAAGGAAGAGAACAAAAGAGGAGCCAACTGCTCTTAATGAGTACGAAATTTCAACAAATCCCTGGAAGACAGAAGGAAATGGCTGACAGAAGGTTGACAAAAGAAGCACCAACCAGTTGAAGAGTCAGATAGGAGAGGTTACTGTATATTATAAAATTTCCATTTGATCTGATTTTTGAAATTGTAAATAGGTATTAACTTTAAAAACATTTTTAATGAAAATATTTTCAGGAAGAAATGACAGGGAAAAACAACTAAAATTTTCTGGACTTTACAATCATTCATTCTTATAATAACCCCACAAAGTAATTATTATTTGTTTTAAACTGAGGTTTCATTCAAAGACATTAAAACAAAACAAAACAACAAAAAAACCAACATGCCCTAGCTAGTTTGGCCAGGCCGAGTTTATTCTTGTATTATTCATTAATTATTGTATTATTTTCTATATAAACAATTGTAAACCTACTTTTGCCCCACCCTGTATAACTAACAAATTTGCAATTTTTCGGATAAAAAGCACACAAGTAGTGAAACATCACTTAGACTGCTCTCAACAAAAGAAAGCACCCTTTGCTGAGAACAGAACAAGACTGTAATAAAATGAATTTTAGGGATCCAGCAAAGTAACCACTTTGATCAGAATTTTCTGGCAGTGACTGGTAATTAGAATTCCCAGAAATCATAGCTTCCTAGGAAATTTTTTTTTCTACCCATCTTAACCTTCCAAAGGGGGTCATTTGCTTAACATTCTCCATAAGCAATCTCGAAGGACTGAAAATGTTTAGCAAAGACAAACATATTGGTTAAAACTATTTCCTAGCACCGTAGTTCTTAATGTTACTCCTTTCTGTATTCAGCCTTCTCTTACTTTAAGAAGAGAGTAACTGCGAAAAGTGCCGACTGCCAGGGAGAGAAGAAAGGAAGAGCTTCTTAAGGATATGGAGGTGGGAACTTCCTCAGAGAAGGAGGATGAATATATTACTTATTACTATTGTTAATTACTAATCAACAGGAAAAGTGGGGGGATAAGAAGAAAACAGTCTGTGTCAAGCACTCTCCTGGCATTATTTTTATCCTTTCTTTTTTTATTTTAGTATGTTTTTTGATTTTTTTAGAAAGGAAGAGAGATAGAAACATCATTGATCAGCTTCCTCCTGCCCGCTCCCTACTGGGAATAGAGTCCCACAACCCAGGCATGAGCCCTGACAGGGAATCGGCCAGAAGATCTGTTCCTGAGTCATCCTTCAACTGCCCCACCTGTCAGGCTCTCCTGGTACTTTCGACACATTATTTTATTTGATGTTCATAAAAAGCCTACACGGTTTCTAACAATATCTCCATTTTAGAGATGAGAAAACAAGGAATTGAAGTTGATAATCTGTCTAAAGGGTCACACAGTAAGTGGTGAGGTAAGATTTAAACGCAGACTGTCTGACTCCAAAGTCCCCAGGAAGTCCACTCCTGCTGCTTATGTGCTAACTGTGAGCTTAGAACAGCATCTAAACGGCACATATTCAGGGTAACAGAAATATAATACAACAAGAATAGGTTAGAGACTGTGGAAAGGTTTAAAATAAAATCCCACTGGCTTTGAGACAAAGAAATTTAGAAGTAAAATGGCCATGGTTTATAAATTTATTCAGATGCCAAACATCATTTTTGCCAGAGTAAAAATCCGAGAGCCTCTGCTTTTCATCTGTTACTATAGGTTGTCCATTTCTATCACATTTCTTCTCACTCATCTCCAAACCAAATAACCCCACTCATATTCCATATCACCCATGGGTATAATTGTTGTGGGCTAAGGACAGAATCACAGAGATTATTTCAAAAGTATGTAATGAGTGCTCAACCAACCACAGTAATTCCTTGACTTAGAGGCTGACTCCTTTACTAATAATACTAGAGTATCTAGTTTCCCTTTCTAATATACATTAGGCTCATGGCTTCAAAGACTTTTACAGAATCTTCCCCAAGTTCTTTTCCTATTTGAAAACAGGGAAGACTGTTCCAATTAATATGTATCCCTAAGTTCCTTCCTAATTATTTTCCCATGTGTCTGCAGAGAGTCGCCTCTATTTTCTCAATTCTTAACTAGTCAGAATGCTCCTTGATTGCTATTTCATCAACACACTTGGGAGTTTTCCTTTAAGTAGTCATAGTCAAAGCGTTTTGATAAATGCCACAGAATAAGTATACAGCAAACCCCTCTGGGATGCCCATAATGCATTCTCCCTACCCATTCCAAGGATTCATTAAAAAACCATGGCTCTGTTACGCACTGTACCTCTCACTGTTCCATAAACTTGAACATGTAAGCACAACTGGGAAGATCTAAACCCATGGAAGTGTCAAAAGATGTACCTCCTATCATAGCCAGATTCAACCTTTTGTACAGTTTCTTAGATCTATTCCTTTCTTTTACATTACTGTCATCAATATATACTTTTTCCCCCCACTCAAGAACAGGAGGCATGCTTGAGCTAATATCCCCTTTTGGAGAATTTATGTTATCATTTCAGTTCTTATAGTTTCTAAAAGTAGAATCTAACAAGTTTAGTTTTGTCCTTCAACAGCATAGCAGGTTTCTTTTTTTATTTCCCCACTCATTTTTCTTTAATATCTCGTAGCATCAATTTGTTTTTGTCTAAATGTACCTTTACATGATACTGAATTCCTTTGGACTAGTATTCCTCTTCCCTCCCATTACCTCAAATGTTTTATACCCATTATGGCAAGAATTCATGGAGAATCTATACTAATAAAAGGGTAATGTGCAAATTGGTCAGGATGCCCTCACGCAACGACCGAACAGCAAGCTGTGTGGAGTGACCAGGCCGGCACAGGGCGGGGAGGGGGGAGGACAGTGAGGGGCCACCAAATAAACGGAACAGCAGGCTGCGTAGGGCGACCAGGCCAGCAGAGGGGGGCAGTGAGGGGCAACCAGGCTGGCAGAGGGGGGCAGTGAGGGGCGATGGGAGGAGCAGGGCTGCCAGTAGACAGGGGCCTGCGGTGGGAGGGGCCAGGTGGGGGCATGGAGGATGGGCCAAGACCTGCCCCTGGGCCCACCACAGCTTGCAGCCCACAGTTCCTTTCAAGGTGCATAATTTATGCACTTGGCCCTTAGTACTGTATATAGAAGATTAAAACAATCATTTGGGGTCTGGAATAAATTAATTCAATTTATATTAATTTTCTAGGTGAGAATCTCGCCATTATCTTACAAAAGTGTCTATATCTTAAAACTGGATGGGCCCATGACATCATTCTCTTTCAATGATGACACTATAAATTCTTCATTTTAGCATGGTTTTACTTATATGGTGTGGAACGTCACCAACACCTTGATGGCTACAATATAACCTGTTTTTAAAGATTCACATGAATGGAACATCTCCGGTTTATTTTTTGGAAAAGAAAAGATCTTCAGATGGTCTTGATGTACCCTGAGACTTTTGCTGAGTGGCCTCAGACCCACTGATGCCAAGTTTGAATGTTTATCATCCTGGTGTGAACACCATGCCCCTAGCTGGTGTGACTCATTGAGAACCTGCTTTAAGTAATTCATGTATCACTAAGGGCTCTTTTAGTACCTAAACCTGATAGACAGCCAGCAGGTGGAGCCGGACCCAGGAGTACCTTGAGCCTTTTGATGACCTACCCCAGGCTGGGTACTGATGAATGCAGGCCTCAGTATGAAGCGTGGCCCTTCCCACATGCACCTTGGCCCAGCAGAGGTGGCCACCAACTGTGGATCACTCTGTAGCTCTAACAGGTAGCCCAGTGCCAGTCACAGGCAGTGTCCAACACTGACCTGCACCAGAGTCCTCTCCATAGAGTTAATGCTTCAATGAGTGATAACTGCTGTTTTGGCATATGTAAGATATAAATTTCAAAAAAGGTCTAACTTCGTAAAGATGGTCTGTTACATGCCATTTGTGAATTGTCGTTCAGATGAAAGAGTGTAAGTATATACTCAAACCCCTGATGGGTTTAGGAAATATGGTTGATTCAAGTAAAGGATCTTTCTATTCTGGCTTCTTCATTAGTCCCATCAAAAACATTAAACCAAGAAACTTGTTTATATCCATATAAGTAATGTCCATCCATGGTGAAGTTTTAGCAGAGGTTTTGTGGTATATTTCCATTTGATGATGAAATTGGTTTGAGAAGAAGATGGAAAAACTTATAAAAAATAAATTGGTTACTACACTTATACTTCGTGGATCTTCAAATTGAACAGTTATGCCTGAAATACTTATATAAACTTCCAAAGCTGGTAAATGTCTTTTTCTGTCCATACTTCTTCAGAATCACTTTCACTGTCAGATATTATCACATTTCTCTTTTACCTTTGTGATGGTCTAATGTCAGGCTCATTACTATCTTCCAACAAAATACTACTGTCTTCCAACTGACTACCAAAGTCACTCGACCAATCAAATAGTGTCTGTACATAATTTGTTCAAAAGTTCTTCTCTGTTGTGACATGTCTTTTTAAAAACTTTTGCCATAATAAAAGATGGATGGAAAGAATTAGATGTATTGCTTGTCACATCTCTTGAAATACTGACTCATGAGTTGAGAAAAATGAAGAGGAAAACTAGGGACACATAATGAAGAGGAAAACGAGGAACGGCCAAAAAAGTGCCAAGTGATGAAGTGGCTCATATCTCACACCTCTTATAATCTGAGCCTAAACAAAGATAAGAAAAAAGTCTAGATCTCTCTTTTAAAACTCTACATTGCTTTCAGATCTTAAATTAATGTAAGTGTAGACACGAGTTATCTGTGACCAGTCAATGCAATTTGGGAAGGAAACACAAGTTAACCCGTGACTAGTCAGCAATGTTCAGATGCAGAAACACGAGTGTACTCAGATGTATCAGTGAGGCTAGGATGCTCAAGGATCTTAGGGAATGAAGGGAGGAACTCAGTGAAAACTGTAATAAAGAGGTAGTAAGCTTAAACAAATGATATAGAAACCATAAAAAGGAGCCAGTCAAAAATGAATAATACAATAACTGAAATGAATACTACACTAGAAGGAATGAGCAGCAGATTAGATGTAGTAGTGAGTCAAATCGGCCATTTGAAAAACAACGTAACAGAAGACACACATTCAGAACAGCAAAAAGAAAAAAATGAGTTTAAGGGGCCTATGGGACAACATCAAGCATTATATCATCTGCATCATAGGGAAAATGGAGGAAAAGAGACAAAGGAATTGAGAACCTATTTGAAGAAATAATAACTGAAAACTATGTTCCTAACTTGATGGAAAAAAAAAAGGCACACATGTCAGGAAGTCCAGAGAATCTCAAACAAAAAGAACCAAAGAGTCCCATCCACATTAAGACACTTCATAATTAAAATGGCAAAGGTTAAAGACAAAGAGAAGTATTATAAACTGCAAGAGAAAGATAGTTAATTAACTACAAGTGAGCTCCCATAAGTCTATCCACTGATTTCTCAAAATATAACACTAGAGGCCAGAGGGACTCATACAACACCCCCCAAAAACCCCAAACAATTCAATTTAAAAAATGGGTAGATCATGCAGGGAGAACAAAGGATAAAATATTTAACTGCAGCAGTATTTGACTATATTCTGCGCAGTGAGAAGACCTTAAGTTATTTTCAAGGTCCACCATTTCTTTTCAGTAGGGTCAAATTTCTAAGCTTTCTAAATCTCCATTTTCCAGCTCATGAAAAGAAAATAGGATTCCACCGAGTCTCCTATCTATCCACTCCAGGACTTCTGTGAGGATCAAATGAGATGAGGCACAGGAAAACGCTTCACAGACATTTGGTTACAGTGTAAAATGTTTCCACCTGGCTATAAAACAAGTTGTGTTCCTGGGCTGAAGAAATTGCAAGGAGGCTAGTCGTCACTAGGGAAAGGAAGCCAGGCATTGCTATGTGATGTCATTACCAGGACAGACACTTATCATATTAGCCTTTTATATATATAGATAGCAAAGATATGTGCTCATCAACAGATGAGTGGATAAAAAAAAGCATTGGTACATATATACAATGGAATATTATTTGGCCAAAAAAAGAATAAAATTCTACCATTTGCAATAGCACGGATGGACCTGGAAGGTATTATGCTAAGTGAAATAAGTCAGAGAAAGACAAGTACTATATGATTTCACTTATATGTGGAATCTATAGGGCAAAATAAATGGACAAACAAAATAGAAACAGACTCACAGATACAGAAAACAAACAGATGGGGGGACAGTACAGGGTGGTGGCGGCAGTGGTGTTTGTGGGGCTGGGTGAAAAGGTGAAGGATTCGTAATTACAAATTGGTAGTTACAAAAATGTCCTGGAGATATAAGTACAGCACAGAGAACATAGCATTATTGTAATAACTATGCACAGTTCCAAGTGGGTACTTGAAATATCAGGGGACCACTCTGTAAAGTATAATATATTGTAACCTAACCACTATGCTGCACATCTAAAACTAATACAGAATAATACTAAATGTAAACTGCAGTTAAAAAAAAAAATTTAAATTTAAAAATAAATAAAAAGAAAAGGTCTTTGATGATATATGTTAATAGTCCTTATTTTCTTTTCCTTTGTATCTGTTATTTCGGCAAATTATAAGAAAATGGTAAAAAGGCTAAAGTAGATTTTAAACAGAAATGTGTGTCTGAATGCTAGGATTACTAGAGTAGTTGTGACCCATACTAAATTACCTTTTAGCTCCTTGAGCATCATAATACGAACTCACCCCTTCTATAGCCTAAATGTTTACGTTTCCCCCAAATTCCTATGTTGAAGCCCCAATCCTTAATAGGATTTTGGGAAGTAACTGAATCAAGCGAATGGGGCCGAATGAATGAGATTAGTGCCTTTACTAGAGACATAAGAGAACTTCTCTTCCTGCCATGTAAGGACAGAGCAAAAAAGGTGTTCTTCTGCAAACCGGGAAGAGCTCTCTCATTAGGAACTGAATGAGCCAGTATCCTCATTTTGGACTTCTCAGCCTACAAAACTGTGAGGAATAAATTTCCATTGTGTAAGCCACCCACCCTACGGTATTTTTGTTATAACAGGCTGAACTGACAGATAATTCTACTAGCCAAAAATTAATAGCAATACCCACCTTCATCTTCACTGCTATCAGACTCAGGAAGTTTAAGTCTTCTCCTCTTTTTCTTCATGTTTACAGTTTCTTTTGTCTCATCATCAGAGAACTCCACTCGCTTCCCCCTGTGGCCATCCAGGAAAAATTTAAGCATGTTACACAGGAATAAAATTAAAAGTATTCATATGCTACTATGGGTCTTGCTTCATAACTCATGGTCTTAATTCCAGAGGACAGAAAAGTCAGTAAGAATTATTTTTAAGGCTAACTGACCGCAACTAGGTTACTTCATGGGATGACCAGAATAAAAAATTTCTTTAGCTCTCTAAAGACCACTGGAAACTACTACCAGATTATTGAGCATCTTCCTAAATTCTTACTGCCCCTATTGGCCTTTCAATAATTCAACAAGCATTTAATAAGCAGCTACTACCTACATAAATGAGGCACTTTGCTAAACAATGAGGCTATAAAGATCAAGAAAATATTGTTCTCAAAGGAGCCTTAACTGGAAAGACTGATATAAACACTACTGTAATACAATGTGATCATTTTTCCAGAAAAATGTTATGGGACATGAGTCTTACTTGAAAACTTTAAAAGTATAAGTTCATCAGATAGAAAAGGGGAACATATTTTATAGAGAAAAAAAAAACCCAATATGAGCAAAAGCATAAAAGCTCAAGGTGATTCTAATAACAATAAAAAACTTATACTCCATCCTATCCTGACATTATTTAGTTCCTCTGGATACTCCGTCACATTACTCATTCATTCAAGAGCCCACTGTGTGTTAGAGACATAATTTTTATCTACAACTATTTTACTTCTTATGTAACTTTAAGTATCAACTTATTTTTCTATCTTAAGATACAAAAAAGACAAATTAAACCCAAAATAAATAGAAGGAAATAATAAACGTAAGAGCAGAAATCAATTAAGTAAAGAAAGTTAACACATATAAAAGTCATTATTTTGGGGGGAAAGATTTATAAAATTAAAAAGCCTTTTACAAGACTGATAAAAAAAAAAGACAAAAACTATAAAGAATGAAGGAATCTGTAGTAGTAACTACAGATACTCAAAGAATAAGGATATATTATGAACAACTTTAACCCAATAAGCTCAACAACTTAGACGAAATAAATTCCTTTAAAAACACAACCAAACTGATTCAAAAAGAGCAAAAAAATTTGAAGAGCTCTATTTAAAGAAATAAAATTCATTTCTTAAAAAAAATTCCCAAAAAGAAAACTCCAGGCCCAGATTCACTTGTGAATTTTATCAAACTTTGAAGAGAGAAATACATATCATATACAAATATAAAACAGAGGAATACTGACTCCTCCCAACTAATTTTAAGAAGTCAGCATAACACTAATACTAAAATGTGATTAATGTTACTAGAAAAGATCCTTATAAATGTAGGGACAAAAAATCCTTATAATATTAAGTAGAATCCAGCAATATGTAAAAAGACTAGTAGACCATGACCAAGTTGGGATTTATCCCAAGAATGCAAGGTTGGTTTAACATTTGAAAACCAATCAATGTAATACACTACATTAACAGAAACACTGTATGATCATTTCAATAAATGCAGAAAAACCATCTGTCAACACCCATTCATAATAAAACCTCCCAGCAAACTAGGAACAGAATGTCTTCCATTTAATAAAGGGCACCTATTAAAAATATACAGTTAACATTATATTTAGTGCTGAAATACGGAATGCAATCCTGTCAATAACCATCGAGAACAAATGTACCCATGCCGAGACATTTTAATCCGGAGGTGAGGCCAATTGGACAGAGCCTTGACCCTGAAACTTCAGCATTTTGTTGATGTTTCTATTAGAGTGTCCCCAACCTTGCCACAAAAGTCAAGTATTTCTGGGCCTATCAGTGCTGACAGTGTCCTTTAGAATTTCAACAGACTAATTCCTACCAACTATGAGGTAGTGTCTCAAATTCCTGGATCCATTTTTAACAGCTTGTGTGCTTTTATTTTCTTTTCTAATTACATTTTACCACTTGAAAAATAAACTCATTGATATAAAAAGAAAACAAAGAACTTTTTCTCTTAAATTTGACTGGAAAGGGTAACCTTTCATTTGCAATTTGAAGTGAAAAACAGACACACCATCAGGCACACTTATGCCATGTCCATAAATTCAAAATAAAGGAGAAAAAACAATTGATTTAGGCCAATGGAGTCCAAAAAATACACTTTGGGTTTTAAATGATCTAAAATGCAGATTCTAGGTCTACTTCGATAGATAAGATATTGAACTTCCCCCCTCACTTTGGTTATTAGCTATATCCTGACGGCATTAAATAGGATTTAGTGCTCAACTGAAAACTGCCTGCTGTCAATAAGCCCAGACAGACCTTGTCAACCCCAGAAAAAACACACTTTCCCCAAAAGTGACAATATTTTCCTACTTTTTTTTCTCTTTCTGCTGCATCTTAACAGGCTCTGCTTTTTTGCTGGATTTCTTCAGACCTGCAGGGGCTGCCAGCTTTGGTTCAGTGACAGACAGTAGAGGTTGTTCCACTACTTTTTCTTCTTTTACTTCTTGTTCTGAATCCAAGTTGACTTTCAGTTTATCTACAAATAAAGTATAGCAGACAATGTACAATCCCATTGTGCAATAACAATCTATCATTCCTTTGACAGCCTACTAAGTGCCAGGTAACATGTTAGGAGGAGAGGGTAATGGGGAAGAATACAGTCCCTGTCCTAACAGAGCCCATGGTCTAGTCAGAAAACATTTCTCCTTTCCAACTACCACTCTAGCTACCGTGTTTCCCCGAAAATAAGACATCCTCCGAAAATAAGACCTAGCGCATGGAAAGATAAGACATCACCTGAAAATAAGACCTAGCACAACTTTGGGAGAAAAAATTAATATAAGACACTGTCTTATTTTCGGGGAAACAGGATATTACTCTTTTCTTTTCTGCCTCCAGCTAATCCCTCTTAATATCACAGCCCTCAGGGCAAGTGATAGTAAAAGCAAGGCTTAGGAAAGAAATGAGATATCATTATTCTCATTAGCTAGATGAGGAAACTAGCTCAGAGGAATTAAAGAGTCAGAGGACTTAAAATGTTTCTCAAAAGTACACAGCTTACAAATAGTGACAAGAGAAATTTGTACTAAGATCTTATTTTCTACTAGAGGCCCAGTGCATGAAATTCGGAGGAGGAGTCCCCTCAGCCCAGCCTGCACCCTCTCCAATCTGGGACCCCATGGGGATATCCAACTGTTGGTTTAGGCCACATCCCGGGGGATCGGGCCTAAATCAGCAGGACATCCCATTCATAATCCTAGACTGCTGGCTCCTAATGGCTCATCTACCTGCCTGCCTGGTGGGCAGAGCCTCCCTCTGCGGGGCAATCAATCATGGGGCTCCCAGACTGCAAGAGGGTGCAGGCCAGGCTAAAGGACCCCCTCCCCCTGAGTGCACAAATTTAGTGCACATATAAAACTATAATTGGCCAATTAGCTGGTAAAGAGGCAGTTTATTGTAACAATTTCAGGCAACTGTTAAGAAAAATGTAATCACATTTCTTCATTACCTGAATGGTCAAGTTACTAGTATCATCTTGATTAATTAAAAGCATCTCATATAAAAATACTCAAGAGAATATAAAACCACTTTTCAAGCAAAGAAAAGTAACATAATGACTGTCATCAAAGCTGCAACTGTTTTAACATAAAAGGCATTAATTTTTTTGTTATTGAGATATAAATCACACATCATAAAATTTAACCTTTTAAAGTGTATAATTTAGTGTCTTTTATTTGTGTAACCACCACCAGTATCCAATTTTAGAAACTTTTCATCACTCCCAGACCTTGATAAGCACTAATCTACTTCCTGTCTCTACAGATTTGCCTATTCTGGAATCAAATAATACGAGGCCTTTTATTTTTGGCTCCTTTCATTTCTCATATTTCAAGTTCATCCATGTTGTAGCATGTAAATCAGTACTTCATTCTTTTTTGACTGAATAATATTCCACTGTGTGGGTAAGCCACTGCAGTATATCCATTCATCAAATTATGGACTTTTGGGTTGTTTCCACTTTTTAGCTATTATGAATAATGCTTCTGTGAACATTTGTGTACAAGTTTTGTATGGACATACAGTTTTAATTCGTGTGTAGATACCTGGCAGTGGAACTGCAGGATACCTTTAGATTTAATTTTTTTGTAGCATTGCCATACTCTTTTTTAAAATGAGCACACCATTTTTCATTGCCCAAAGCAATGAATGAGAGTTCAATTTCTCCACATCTTTGCCAATGCCTGTCCAGCATTAAGTTGTAAACGTTCAAGTTCCCACAGTCACCTCTCTTCATCTAACTCTCAAGCTCCATTTTCATTGCAATGAAAATGTGTTAAATATAATAAAAATATTCATAATTTAACTCTAAACATTCTTGAAAAAAGTGTTAAATAATCAACTTTGTAAGCCATTCTTCTTATTAGGTAAACTGGAGGCCCAGTGCACGAAATTATTTGCACTGTGGGGGGGGTGGTGGTGGTGTTCCTCAGCCGAGCCTGTGCCCTCTTACAGTCCAGGAGTCCTCGGAGGATGTCCAACTGCTGAGGAGGTGGGAGAGGCTCCTGCCACTGTCACTGTGCTTGCTAGCCATGAGCCCAGATCAGGGCTTCTGGCCAAGTGGCATTCCCCTTGTGGGAGTGCACTGACCACCAGGGAGAAGCTCTTATGTTAAGCTTCTTCCCCCTGGTGGTCAGTGTGTATCATAGCAATCAGTCAATCCACCATTTGGCTGATTTGCATATTACCCCTTTATTATATAGGATATTGAATTATTTTATTTTATTTAGGTTTTACTCCTCTTTCTACTATATCCCATTATAACACCCTTTACTCTCTGCCTAACAATTACAATCATTAACTACTTTATTATTTTTATATTTATTTGTGTCTCTGCCATGAGAATGAATATAAGGGCCACGAGGGCAGGAATCTTGTTTGCATATGTTTTTATCATTGTAGTACCAATGCATAATAGTGCCAATAGTAGATGTTAGTAAATACTTGCTAAATAACGCACATGAATAAATAAGTGTATACTTCTATTTAGTTTGATTTCCCCACTTTCAGGTCTTTCCAAAGCAGCAGCGTCATCTGCTATTTGGTATTTTCTCGAAGAGGCAGCTGATTTTTATTTTATTTTTTTACAATTAGCAAATATTCACATTTTACGTATTTTAAAAATAATTTAAAAATTCACCCCGCCAGTGTGGCTCAGTGGATGAGCATCAACCTATGAATGAAGAGGTCAGGGCATAGGCCTGAGTTTCGGGCTCAATCCTCAGAGGAGGGCATGCAGGAGGCAGCAATCAATGATTCTCTCTCATCATTGATGTTTCTATCTCTCTTTCCCTCTCCCTTCTTCTCTAAAATAAATAAAAATAGGTATTTAAAAAATTCACTGGTTATTAAGGTTAAGACGCATAAAAAGCAAACATGTGAACCTCACTGAGGTTGCCAAGAAACCACATAATCTAATTGGGTACAGTGGGCAGAGCAGTACCAGCTGTACCGGCTAATGACATTAGCACGATGTGTCTTCATAGAAGTAGGTAGCCCTCCTTGTTCACTGTACTTGCAAGAATACAATTGTGCTTCCCAATATCCTGAAAGTATCAAATTTTCCATATGCTTTCAGAACACAAAAATGTTCTTGGATAGCTTTTATGACAAATAAAACACTATCATACCAACCCCTCTCCCAACCACCAATTTGACCATCACAGAAAAGCAGAATTCTAATTTTGCTTGCATAGGCCCCTAATAAAATGCTTCTCCACAAAATCTTTATAAAACTGACACTCCAAAAAACTGTGCTATAATTATCCTGCAACTCCTACGTTCTTCCTGATATTTTGCCACATACCCTCAGGGGATGTTTACTTGACATAAGTATGAAAATATGGGACTATTGGTTCCTTCCATATGAAAGAAATTGTTGTTTTTTAATTTAATAGAGGAGAAAATTTTAAATGGCCACTTTAGATCCCTATCTGAGCACTTCTAATTCACACTGAAGTCTAATCTGCAAAAATAACTAAAGAAAGGCTAAAGCTTTGTTTGTGCAGCCCCGTGGGAGATAGGGATAGTAATGGTCACACCTCAACACTGTACTACTTAACCAGCAAGCCTCCCTTTTGTTTTAATTCCCATTTACAAGAGCTCTATAAAACAATATCTTTTTCTTTTCAAGGCAGGAGGTAAAAATAGGAATAGTAAACTACACTCCAAACCAGCAGTCGCCAACTGATGGTCCGTAGGTCCGAAAGGTTGGCGACCACTGCTCCGAAGAATCTAAACTGAACCAAACTCACTCATAAAATCCACTATTCCAGTTGGGTTAACTTCATTAATATATTGAAAACTGATGCGAAGATCCAGGAATGCTACATGGTAGTGTCCCAGATGGGTAAAGCAGGCTTTCATCGCAGATAGGTTGTAAATTATTTTTATAATACTAGAGGCACAGTAAACGAAATTCGTGTGGGGGAAGGGGGGAGGGGTAGAGAGAAGGTCACTTCAGCCCAGCTTGCACCCTCTCCAATCTGGGACCCTAAGGGGGATGTCCGACTGCCTGGGACCACTGGCTCCTAACTGCTCACCTGCCTGACTGCCTGATCGCCTCTAACTGCCCTCCCCCTGCCCCGGCTGGCCTAGTTGCCCTTACAGCCTCCTCCCCCCGCTAGTTTGGTCACCCCCAACTCCCCCCCCACCCCCCGCAGGTCTGGTCACCCCATGCAGCCTGCTGCTCGGTCGTTTGGTCGCCCCTCACTAACCCCCCTACCGATCTAGTCACCTCACAAAGCTTGTTCAGTCATCCATTAGGTTGCGATAGTGGCTTAGGCATAGATAGATAGATAGATAGATAGATAGATAGATAAACAGACAGATGAGAGAGAGAGAGAGAGAGAGACTTATAGCCCTGTGCACAAATATGTGCACCAGTAACTCACTGCTGCCCTCCAGTAGCTCTCTGCCTGCTCCCCCGCCCTCCTGTAGCTTCCACTCCGGCCCCCCCCCCTGCCCCGGCCTCCCCTCATAGCTTGCTGCCCTGCCTACTCCTGTAGCTCTCTGCTGCCCTCTGTAGCTCCCTCTGCCCCCCTGGCCTCCCCCTCTTAGCTTGCTAACCTGCCCCCTCCTGTTGCTCTCTGCTGCCCGCTTGTAGCTCACTGACCTACTCTCCTGCTGATCCATGATCTGGTCATTATGCAGTCAGTCATTATGCTTCATAGCTTAACAAACATCTGCAAATTACATCTTTATTATATAGGATTAATATATTAGTATTCAAAAAGAAGGTAAGAACATGCTTACTCATAGCAGCTTTTCCAAAAAAATTGCTCATCACAGTCCCTTTCCCTGGTGCCTTGCTGCTTGCTGAAGATGCCTAAAAGTATAGAAAGAGAAAACACAATTTTTTTCTTAGTGTTTAGGCTGCTGTTCAAAATATGTCTCCGATAAACTTTCTTCAACAGTAGAGCACACTGTCATGATGGTTCAGTCTATATAATCATGCCAAACATGTATGCATTAGATATAAGAATAAATCCAGACCCACCAATATCAGTATTAATCTCCAAAGCTTAGGTTCTCACAGTTCTTATAAAATTACTAGAGGCCCAGTACATGAAAATTCATGCACTACAGAGGGGTTCCCTCAGCCCGGCCTGACCCTCTCACAGTCTGAGAGCCCTCAGGGGCAGGAGGCGACCTGGTGATCAGGAGGTGATGCCCCCCCATCATGCCTCTGCTGCTGCCGCTGGTGGCAGCACAAGCCTCAGCCGGCCATGGTTACCTGAGCCTCGGGTGGCTCTGGCAGCTGCCATTCAAGGCTTGCCTGCACCTCGGGGCAGCCCTGGGAAGCTGTGCAGCTGCCATCCAAGGCTTGCCTGTGCCTCAAGCCGGCCCTAGGCGGCTGGGCAGCTGACATCCGAGGCTTGCCTGCACTTCAGCGGCTGGGCAGCTGAAGGGACTGGGGGACTCCAGAGGCAGGCACATGGAGCAGCCGGGCCTTGCTGCACACCTGCCACCCCAGTGGGGCTGAGGGGACTGGGTGCAGCCATCTTTGAGGGCGGGACAGTCAATTAGCATATTCCCTCCTTAGTGGCTGTGGGTGCCGCCATCTTTGTGACAACATGAGAATCAATTAGCATATTCTCTCTTTATTAGATAGGATTAACCATAAATGTTTCTAAAATTTTGACTGAATTTAAAAACTACTTAGTTTGACAAAATTAAAATAGGTCAGAGACTGTATGATACATGATAGGGAAAAACCTGCAAAATATTACATTTGTAATCATCACAAGTGAATTTGATGCTGGTTCCACCATTTAGTAGCTCAAGGCTTAGTGAGAAGCATTATCAAAAGAAAAAGACTGTTTCATATGAAAATATCAAGAATTAAGGATTCAAGCTGAAGTATAAAGTAGAACTAAATATCAGACCCTTATATAATCAAACTACCACCACTGGAACTACGATTGCTTTTCTAGTTACCCATCTGAGTTGAAAGGCATACCTTTATGGAAGACTTACATTTGTTACCTCTTTAGCTTCCGTTTTGGTTTCCTTGTTGGTATCTTGGCTTTTAGAAGCAGCTTTAGAGGCAAACATTCCCATAATTCCTTTAGGTTGGTGGGGAATCTGTTTGGAAGTAGGTGGGCCATGACCGTTGGCAGTCAGCTCACTAGTGGCTTGTGTTTCACTTGATACCTGAAGATTTGACTGCTCAAACTTTTCAGAAGACGAGGTTTCAGAAGCTCTAGGAACTGCAGCTGCACACTGTATGGCACTAAACCTGAGACAGAAATGTTACGTTAATGTCAATATCGAACCTTACTTTCAAACTCTTGCTTCTTCAGTGTAATACTTTTTAAGCTTAACACTATTAAAGGAGAAAATATGAGAACTAGAATGAATTTTAGGAATTATTTTGAGCAGAACACTCATTCAGATAAATATTAGAGAGAAGCCAGTGACCTGTCTTAGATTATATCGATATATCTAGCTGGTAACAAGACTAGGTTTGGAATCAAAAGTAGAATAGAAGAGGATTTGAGATCTTGCTCCCCAGCATGTTGTCAATTTGGTTCAAATAAATTCTTATAAAAATCAAAACAAAACAAAAAACCCTAGGATATGGAATCTAGCATTAAATATTCTCTTTTGAAAAAAGCATCCTGCCAAAACTAGTTTGGCTCAGTGGATAGAGCATCGGCCTGTGGACTGAAAGGTCCCAGGTTCGATTCCAGTCAAGAGCATGTACCTTGGTTGCGGGCACATCCCCAATAGGGGATGTGCAGGAGGCAACTGGTCGATGTTTCTCTCTCATCGATGTTTCTGGCTCTCTATCCCTCTCCCTTCCTCTCTGTAAAAAAAATCAATAAAATATATTTTTTTTAAAAGAAAAAAGCATCCTAATTCTAAATAGTGAGAATATATCAAACAATAATAAAAGATTAGTAGTTTCACCATACTTGGGAAACCAAATTATAATAATCCTCGTTTTTAATTATTTACTGCATGCAATAAATATTGACTGATTCAAAATTAAGAGCTCCAAATATTAACAAATTTCCTGGCAACTCTCCTAGCCAGAGTGGGTCATGATTAAAACATGTAAGAAGCCATAGCTGGTTTGATCCCCAGTTAGGGAGTGTGCAGAAGGCAGTCAATCAATGATTCTCTTATCATTGATGTTTCTCTCTCTGTCTCCCTTCCTTTCTGAAACCAATAAAAATATACTAAGGGGAAAAATATGAAAGAAGCACCTGCTCACATCATTCAATTGTTTGGAACATCATCCAGATTCGCTAAGGTACGAGTTTGATCTCTGGTCGGGCACACATAAGAAGCAACCACAACCAATGAATGCACCAATAGATGGAACAACAAATCCCCCCTGCCTCTCTCTCTCTCTAAAATCAATAAACAAAAAAAAATTTTTAATAAAAATAAAACATGGAAGAAGCTGGGAACACACAGCATTGCTTCTTATGACCTGTGGTCTTTAACAATTGGTTGCTAATAATTTCTAATACCACCAACTAACAGCACCAGAAAAGTATGTCCAAAGCCAAGTGCATAAATTTGGAACTGTTTGAATGGATATTAAAAGGGAACATTCATTGTAGAAATGCCTGTTTCACACAAATCCATAATGTAATATTCCACATTGTGAATGGATAACTGATCTAGCCTTCTCAAATGGCTACACTTAAAAAGCAAAGTTCCCCAAGTCTTCCTAACAAAGAACATTTTATTTCCCAGTCTTTTGCTTACTGTGGGTATGTAAGAGTTCCTTGAAGTTAGGGAAACGTACTATTCATCATTTGTATTTCAGGTAGTCAGCATAAGACCTGGCATATAAAAGTGTCAGGAAATATATACTGAAAGAATGATTATTTAAGCCACTGAAAGTGAGGCTTCTGGCTTCTCTCCCGTCTTCACTTCAAGTTGGGATGGGAGAAGATGGAGGTTAAACTATGTGATGAAAGCAATTATCTTAGAGATCAACCAGGCACAGATTTAAGATTAACTGCTAGAATAACTGGCGTAAGGGGAGGGGGGGGTGGGGGGGGCCGCGGGAGAAACAACCCTGATAAATCATTTCATTTCAAAAGTAACTTCAGATTGAACAGCCCCAAAGCTAGAATTTACAGTTCCAAAAATCTTCCACTGATTTATTGTGGTCCACGTTAGTAAATCCTACATTAACACAAATATTTTGTGCATCAGAATTATGAACAGACGGAAATCATTTCCTTTCACCCACAACTCTACGTCTCTGGCCTTGCAGTGCTTCCATGTAGAAGGAAAAGAGCAATGTTTTATTTCACCGTCAACATCTAAAGTTGGCCCCAAGACAACCTTTCTCCATTTGGTCTACATTCCACACCTTAGGGTCAGGACCAGGAATTGGCAAAGAGGAAGAGACCAAACTAAACTGGGAACTCGTCCGAAGAGAGAAGAATCTGCTCAATCCTAAAATTTCAACTTTCTTCCTGTCACAGCACTTCTTAAAAACACATGAAACAATGAGTCAGATCTCAGTTGGCCCATAATTCTCAGGACCAAATACTAAACTTCTTTATTGGAGATAAATTCTTCACATTTTTACCAAAGCTACTTTAAGTATTGAAGTAAAGTTTCATTAAAGTGCTTGCTATTACCACATTTCTACTTGCCATCTTTATTTTAGAGGTCCCTGTGCAATTTTTTTGAACATTTGAGTCACCTTTATTCTTGTTTGCTTACTTACTTAATACATCAGAAGAAATAATTTTTAAAGCTTGACATACCATGACTGAATTTTAATAGACTATTTTTGAAATCTAATATAATTTACATAAATGTATCAGGTATTTTTTCCTATAATCTTTCCCTAGAAGACACAGACTTATAAATGATTGTTCTTCAGTTACATATTTAGCACATATTTGTATGCCTATTACACTGAAGATTCTAAACTAAAGTAAAAGAACTAAGGTTTAAACATTAGTTCATTCAACAATTATTTATTGAATGCTTATCATCTGCCAGGCACCATTGTGGGTAGAGTGGTTAACAAAATAAACACGTTCTTGATTTTCACAGAACTTACAGAAATTGTGTTTGGCAATTCTATCTCTATTTGTCCTCTATCAGTTATCTCATCTCCCTAGTATTTTCAACCATTTCCTCTTTTATGGCTCTTTCCTAACAATACAAGTTCAAGGCACTCTCAACTTTAAAACTGTGTATGTCTTTCCTTAGTCTCAATTCCTCCTTAGCTACCTCCCTCTTTTCCCATTTTATACTGGTAGTCATGTTTTCTAGAAAGAGTTATCTATATTGACTCAGCTGACCAGAATCTGGTCACTTCACTGAAAATGCTCTTTCCAAGAGCATCACTAAATCCAGTGGACATTTTTCAGTTCCCATTTTACTTAGCTTCTCAGCGAGGTTTGATATTATCAACCAGTCCCTCCTTCTTGAAACTCTTTCCTTAGCCTTTAGAATTCCACATATTCTTGTAATTTTCCTCTTATCTCTAGCTGCTCCCTCTCAGACCCCCTTTTTTTCTGAGAATCCGTTAAAAATGGCTATCACTTAAAAAGTGCTTACTATGTGCCAAGCGCAGTACTAAGCATTGTACATATTTTAATTCATTTCATGCTCTACAGCCCTGTCAGGCTGGTTAGCTTCATTTTGCTGATGAGGAAACTGAAGCACAAAGAGGTTAAAGTGCCCAAGGTTAACACAGCTAGTAATTATGACCTAGAGTTTTACTTTCTGTCCTTCTTTCATTCTATACATTCTCTGTGTGACTATGTCTACCCAATTAATTACCTATTTTCTCTGATTCCAAAATCTCTATCTTCATCCCATTTGACCAGAACATTAAGCAGGCACTGGGCCATATTCACTCTGTAGAGTGGAGCATGTTGTAGGTACACATCAGATCTTCATTGAATGAATTTAAGTTATCTTTCTTAGCATCTATCCAAGTAGTAGGCATTCAACATGTATCTGGGGAACTAACCTGAACCTTCAATATAACCCCACAAAGTAGGCATTACTATATCTAATTTAAATTACTATATCTAATTTAAAGATGAAGAAACCAAATCTCAAAGCGTTTAAGTAATTTGTCCAAAGCCATGAGGAGTATGAAGCAGCAAAGCCACAACTGAAGCTCAGGACCACCAATTCTCAAAACCCACATGCATTGTAGTTCATCACTTCCCTGTGCTATGAAGGATATCAAAGATGAACAAGATCAATACTGGCTATGGAGGATCAATTGCTCTTGGATGGGAGGTAGGGGGATATCAAATTAGGAATAGTTTTTTGAAGTTTGAACTGGTTCTTAAAAGATGGGCAGAATTTAGACCAGCAGAGACGAGGGTAAAGGAGTAATGAGGGGGCACAACAAACATTTCTGGTGACAGTGACAGGATAAATACATGAGAAATAGATTTATGGGAAGTCCACTGGGGTTTTCAATATGGGTTGTGGCTGCTATTTTTCACCTTATGATGTACTAATAAAACCAGGCATGTGTCTTACTGCAAGATAAATGGGGTTTTACTAGACTTGGCATTCACTCTTAAGAGGCAGCCACTGTGTAAACATCTTACAAAATCAATTCGTAAAGAAGCCCACAAGGAACATTAAGGAGCTCACTTGCTGCAGTTCTGCAAGTTGCTTTTAAGGATGTCATAGTCGGTATTGAACAGAGGCCCACTGTCCTTTAGCATGGCTTTCTGGATGCTGTACACATGGACGCTGGCAGTCACAGCTAGCTTGGACTTCACTGCTACAAGTCAACAGGAAAAGCAGACTGTTAACACACAACCTTCATAGCATGTGAGGACTTTAACAAGAAACCCTTCTGCATTAAAACCATTTACAATCTGTGGTGGTCCAAAAAGCTCTAAAAGGCCAAATAGCCACATACTAGTATACAGTATAACATCATCTCTTCTGTCTCCAACAGGGACATTATGACAAGGTAGGTGGTGGTGGTGAGTCAGTTGTAAGCACAGCACCTGTGAGGGTATCACTCATCCAGTGGACACTTAGTAAATACTAATGAATGATTGATGATGACCGTGATTTTTTTTTTTCAGCCAGGAAAGAGTCTTACACTCTAGCATATAACGAGAAAGCAACTCTATAACAAATACTTTGCAAGTATGCAAAGGAAAAACACAAAAGAACATCATAGGAACAAATTTGAGGTCCCATAAAGGAAGGGACTATGCCTAACTTGTTCCAAGTCTCTAGTGACTGGCCCAGAGCTTGATACAGAGTATACACTCATTATGTATCAACTGAATGGATCTTGCTTTGCCTACCAATGTGGGAACTCAGAAAGAAAGAAGTAGCCAACTCCACCACCCTGAATACATCATATTAATTTGTAATAAAACGACTCTACCAGCATGAGTCTTATTTTATAAAGTATAATTGTGTAGCCCTGGCTGGTTTGGCTCAGTGGTTGGAGGGTCAGCCTGTGGACCCAAGTGTTGAGGGTTCAATTCCATATCAAAAGCATGTACCTCTGCTGTGGGTTCCCTCCCCACCCCCGATCTGGGCGTATGTGGGAGGCAACCAATCAATGGTCTCTCTCACAATGATGTTTCTTTTTTTCTCTCTCTGTCCCTCCTTCCCTCCTCCCTTTCTCCTCTATCTTCCCCCTCCTTTCCTCTTTCCCTCCTCCTCCACCCTTCCTTTCACTCTAAAAATCAACTGAAAAAATATTCTTGAGTACCGATTTTTTTTTTTAAATAATTTTTTTTAAAGTACAATAATGCTGCTTTTGTCTTGAGGCATAAGTCCAAGATCATGTGGAGCCCATTGACTATTATACAATTCCTCTGAATTTAGTTTTTTAAAAATAGAACAATAGCATAGTTTTGAAACAGGTAGACAAATTTAATTTAGAAATTATATTAAGTCTTTCTGATTTTAGAAAAGATGTTTTTTCTATCAATAAAACTGTTATAGAACACATTTAGAGACTACTGTCTTTTTACAGTTGATGAGGTGCTCCATATGGTATTCATGAAAGTTTTTTGTATGTCTGTCACGAGTTTTGAAATCCTGTGATGAAAGTGCTTTATAAATGTTAGCAGCTATTGACCTTAAAAGAGGGAAGTTAGGCAGATGTAGTATATTTTAATGTTTCAGAAACTACTTATAAAAAGCATATACAGATCTTCAGTTAAATAGCTAACTATATTGTATGCAAATGTTAGAGGCAGATTTTTTTCTTTTTAGTGTACCTACATTGATGCCATAAGAGTAAAAACTTGCTAAATTGCTAAAACACCTACCTTCCAATTTATCTTCTCTCACTACTGCAACCTTGTGGCACTGTAAGGAAATAACACTTCATTAATGTTAAGTGTAACTTGCAATTTTAAAGTTTCCTAGCCAAAAATTCAATTGCGCTTGAATATAAAATTAGGAACATTAAGTATCCCTGAAAATATATTGTTACAGTTTAATAGTTATACTCATTTTAACTTGCTTATATTAAAACTTCTCAATGAGGTTAAGAAAAGTGATAGAATATAAATATCAATACAATTTTTTTAAAACCCACATCGCAAATCAGTGCAAAGGAAAGAGAACTTTTTAATTGATAATGTAATGAGAATTAGTTTAATCACATAGAACCCAATAAAAATTGGATGTCTCTCACACCAAACAAACAATAAATTCGTAATGGATCTGAGATCTAAATATAAAGAATGAAATCAGCCCTAGTCAGTTTGGCTTAGTGGATAGAGCGTCAGCTTGCAGACCGAAGGATCTGGAGTTCGATTCCAGTTAAGGGCATGTACCTAGGTTGCAGACTCTTCCCTGGCCCAGGCAACTAATCGATGTGTTTCTCTCACATCGATATTTCTCTGTGTCTTTCCCTCTCTCTCTCACTCTAACAAAATCAATGGAAAAATATCGTTGGCTGAGGATTAAAAACAAACAAATGAATGAATAAAATTATATAAGCACTAGAAGAAAATATGAGTGAATTCTTCAATAAACCAATACAATCTGAGAATGGAGAAGTTTCCTAACTACAACTCAAAATTCAAAAATAATGAAAATAATCCATAAAAACTGACAACCAACTTTTAGATAAAAACAATAAATAAAAACTTTAACCAAAGTACAAAGACAAATGATAACATAGAAAAAAATGTCTGTTACATCACAAAGGGTTAATATATGGCTTCTAAAAGAGAGAAAACAAACACTAGTAATCCTTTAAAAAATGAGCAAGATGTATGAACAGACAGTTCACAGAAAAAGAAATGCAAATAACCCCGAAACATATGACAAGTGCTGTGTGGAAACAGGCATTCACGTAACATTGCTGCTAGGAATGAAGAGGTATTTGGCAATACCCAACAAAGTACAAAACATCCTACTTCTAGGAATGTAACCTTTAAACACACTGGCAAAAAATATAGAGAATACATACACACTGAGCTATTCACTATAGCACTATTAGTAATAGCCAAAGATTATAAATAACTCAAAGAACTATCAATAAAGGACAGCTGAATAAACTAAGGCCATGGTCGGCAAACTGCGGCTCGTGAGCCACATGCAGCTCTTTGGCCCCTTGGGTGTGCCTCTTTCACAAAATACCATGGCCTGGGTGAGTTTATTTTGAAGAAGTGGCGTTAGAAGAAGTTTAAGTTTAAAAAATTTGGCTCTCAAAAGAAATTTCAATCGTTGTACTGTTGATATTTGGCTCTGCTGACTAATGAGTTTGCCAACCACTGAACTAAGGAATGTCTATTAACTAGAGGCCCAGTACACAAAATCTGTGCAAGGGTAGGGTCCCTAGCAGCTGCCAGCAAGGGGGTGGGGTCTCCCTTCCCCTGGCTGCCTGCCACCAGGGCTGCTGACCCCACCACCTGGTTGAACTCCTGGTGGAGGGGACAATTTGCATATTAGGCTTTTATTATATAGGATGTAGGATCATGTGGCTGTAAAAAGAATGCAGAATATTTCTGTAACTATTATGGAGTGACGCTCAGGATCTACTATTAAGTAAAAAAAGCAAAATGCAAAATACGATGTAATGTATGAAAATTATTTTAAAAAGGAGGGTAATATGAATATAACTAGTTGGTGGTTTAACTACAGAGAGGAATTATTTCAAGTGATTCTGAAACAGACTGATTGTTTATCTCCAATAGGATATAGCCTACAGACAAAAACAACTACAAAGAAGTGAAACCATTTTCAGTAATCATATTGTTACTAAAAATATTGGATTTGCTTTTCTAAATCATATATATTTAGCTAAAGTGGACACATATTTATGTTACTATAGGAGCCACCAAAATTCACATCATAAAAGAGCAATATAAAATCAAATAGCCTTCTTTAAAAAAATGTAATTGTAAATCTGAACAAAACAGGCATTCTTAAAAATGTCATATTCTGCAAAGCTGTATAATAAAAATTACAGAGCTTAAGAGAAAAAAAAGCATTAGGAACTAACCACTCAAACCTATGCAACTTTGTAGTAAGAGCCCTAAGATAATTTCTATCCTCAGGAAAAAATTTGGACAACCCAGGGAGCTCAGTTTGACTATCTGCTGCTTCTTGGGATATTAAAAATGCATAAACGCCAAAACCTGTTTGGCTCAGTGGCAGAGCATCGGTCTGCAGACTGAAAGGTCCCGAGTTCGATTCCGGTCAAGGGCATGTACCTTGGTTGCGGGCATATACCCGGTAGGGGGTGTACAAGAGGCAGCTGGTGGATGTTTCTCTCTCATCGATGTTTCTAGCTCTCTATCTCTCTCCCTTCCTCTCTGTAAAAAATCAATAAAATATATTTAAAAAATAAAAAAATTTAAAAAGTAAAAATTAAAAAATGCATAAAAACAACTCAGTGGAAATACTAGCTTTCAGATGCTAAAACAACACACACCAGACCAGAGCTCCAATTCAGTTGGTTCCCATTAAAAGGAGGACGCAGGAGTAAGTTCAGTATGCACAAACCCAGATCCTGGCTGAGGGTGAGCCCCCTGGCTTTTTTGCAGTTAGAAAAAAGGAAAAATATGGCTGGTTAGTGAGAACAAGTTCTTCTTTTAAAAAATTCCAGCATGCAGAAAGAATGACAGAAGTAGAGTACCACCATTTTGTGAATTAATGATCTAGGCAATAATAAAAATCCAATCTCAGGAAAAATCATTAGATGAAAAAAGCTGGTAGGGAATTTCATAAAGGATAGATCAGGGTGACAACCTCTAACAACACAAAAGGAACCAACCAAATGTCCCACTGAAATCTGCAAATAGTTCTTTAGGAGACTCTCAGGCATGAGATTACAGGGAAGCTTTTACTTTCTATGTATCACTAAACATTTTTAAAAAATATATATTTTATTGATTTTTTACAGAGAGGAAAGGAGAGAGATAGAGAGTTAGAAACATCGATGAGAGAGAATCATCAATCAGCTGCCTCCTGCACACCCCCTACTGGGGATGTGCCTGCAACCCAGGTACATGCCCTTGACCGGAATCGAACCCGGGACCTTTCAGTCCTCAGGCCGACGCTCTCTCCACTGAGCCAAACCGGTTTTGGCTCATTAAACATTTTTTACAATGATCACGGTCACTGGAAAAATAAGCAGTATTGTTAAAAATCCATACAAAGTCTCTAATGTATCTTTTTCTTTCTAGAAACACTTAAAACTTAAAGAAGAAATTAAAAAGAACAAAACCTGAAATTGTGCTTAATATTCTGCCTTCCCATAGGAAGGCTCTCTTCAGGGAAAAAAAGGGTAACATCATCCACACGTGGTCGGTCATTCTAAGGGTTCCTATGGGGCTGAGGGGGGTGAGTACAGGGCTTCAAAATCCTCACAATCTCTTCAACTACGGCACCCTACTCTCAGTGTATTTTTTATATTAGGATTCTAAAGATTTCATTTGGAAGCATTCTGCTGCTTAGAAAGAAATATTGGCAGAACTTAAATTCCATCTTAAATTTAAAAATAAAAGGCCTTTATAAGCAAGCCACAGCATAGAAGTTTTTTAACTGATATCGGTTACACATCGTTTTGAAAAATGGCCTCAAAAAATGCACTGAGGAACACAATCTACTAGTAAATGCACTTTCAGGGTTTTTTCCAGGCATCTCCTGAATCCCAAAGACCATGCAAAGTTCCCAACTAAGAACCTCTGCTTAAGTGTCTTAGAATAAAAATCTAAAACTTGATCTTAAAACATAAATTCTTAACCTTATATTCTGCTCCAGAAGATATGTGAACACTTAGAATTTTTCCCTAATACAGTGGTCGGCAAACCGCAGCTCATGAGCCACATGTGGCTCTTTGACCCCTTGCATGTGGCTCTTCCACAGAATACCACGTGCAGGTGCGCACGTACAGTGCGAATGAAACTTCGTGGCCCACGCGCAGACTTCGGTTTTCAGCCTGGGCGAGTCTATTTTGAAGAAGTGGCTTTAGAACACTCAAGGGGCCAGAGCCGCAGTTAGCCGACCACTGCCCTAATACATCTTCAACAGGAAAAAAGAGAAGTAACAGAAGCAGTCTCCTAATGTCTTGCTGCCTAGAAAAATTGCTAATAATATTATAGCCTTTGCATCACAGCCAAGATATAACCAAATCTTCTCAGAATTTTAAGTTTAGTCTAAAATTCAAAATAATCACCTACAGGTAGCTTTTCAAAACTTCCACAATACTAAAAATGTGTTCCCCTTTCCCCCACTCCATGTTATTTAACAGTTGATGGCTCAAACATATTTAAGCTCATTATAAGATTCTGAGAACTTACCACATGTCCGTTCTGAACAAGACTGCCAGACACTAAATAGGTGACATGCAGTTGGGCTCCTGAATTTTCCTTTCGCTTTCTTTCAACATAATCATACAGCATCCTGTTCCAAACAAAAGGCACAATAAAGCCATTAGTAAGAGCTTTTTTTTTACCTCATCAACTTTTAATTTGTGACTTGAAAGTTAGGTATATTAAATCTGGCAGTTCATCAAATTTTCTACAGAATTTTTGCTCAGTCTATGGAAAGAGAGTTAGACTGGGGTCACTTACTGAGTTGGCACAGTGACCCAGTTCATAACTGAAATAAAAGAAATCTAGTAGTAGGCCCAGAGAGTGAACCTGCAATAAACCGGTGACATATAATGAATAGAACACTCAACCAAGAATAAGTTCAGTCACTATGTGATTCTGGATAAGTTAATTTTTCTAGGCCTCTTAACCTGTTAATCGGGGAGTTCCCTTTTTAATGACGCAACCTGCAACGGGGGCGTACTCTTTCACTAGGACGTGTCAGTATGTCACGCCAGGAGGACGTAATTTCATATTATTTTTTTTATTTATACTTAATGAAAATAAATTAAATGTATATATATTTTTGTTTATTTATATATATAAAGCACAAAGGAAAATACAAAATTACAAAAAAAATAGAAAAGAATACCGACAAAAAAAAAAATGGACACGTCGAATTAAAAAATTATAAATTTTACAAACAATGATAAAGATTACAAAAAATAGCCGAAACTGATTTGGCTCAGTGGATAGAGCGTCGGCCTTCCGACCTAAAGGTCCCGGGTTCGATTCCGGTCAAGGGCATGTACCTTGGTTGCCGGCACATCCCCAGTGGGGGGTGTGCAAGAGGCAGCTGATCCATGTTTCTCTCTCATCTCATCAATATTTCTAACTCTCTATCCCTCCCCTTTCCTTCCTCTCTGTAAAAAATCAATAAAATATTTTTTTTAAAAAATTACAAAAAATATATACCGTCTCTCTCGGGGCACAACATATAGTATTTCAAGGACGTATTCATACGTCCTACCCGTTCCCGATATTGTTTACGTTTGACGTATTTATAGGTCCCGCTCAGTTAACAGGTTAATATCCTGAGGTATAAACAGGAGGGTACTAGACAGATTAGTGATTCTTTCACCATGGGATTCCATGGCCATCTATAACCCTTTACCCCTCAAACTGGGAGGTAAAATGTGCCTCTATGCAGGGAGACAGTTCAGGGTCCTCAAAAGTTCCTCAAGAGGACCCTAAAACATTAAGAACCGCTGATCACAAATGTCCAGCTTTGAAACTCCAGTTTTATAATCATTGATTCAATACTCTTTCAGAACTGCAGAATGAACAGCTTACTCCCACTGCCCAGTGCTCAGAGTATCCATTAAACCGAGACTGTCAAACACTTGCTGTAGAAATAATGTTGCTTTCAGTAACATCCCTAAATTCATTTTATCCTTATGATCCAACAAGTATCAGAGGTTGGCTCCCCTCAGTAACTCACAGATTAACAAAAACAACAAGAGATATATCATTTCTATCTTTTATTTCAAGAAATATATACAGATTCTCTATAATATGTCATACTTCTGCCAAGAACAACTAGAAACTCTAACTCAAAAATTCCAAGGGAAACTCAACCCTATCCTGTTGACCACTCTCTTCTTCAAGCATCTGCTCTCTTAGCTTCCATAATCCTGTGCCCTAATGAGTCCCCTGCTACCCACCCCTCAAACTGCCCTGCTCCATTTCCCGCACAGGCTTGATTAACTCCTCCTTTTCTATAATAGTCAAAGATCTGTCTTTAGCTATCTTTTTACTCTGTATATTAGTGACCAATCATCTGGGTTTGCCTGGATTTGAGAGGTTTCCTGAGGCACAGACTTCTGGTGCTAAAATCAACAGTCCTGGGCCGACCAGGATGGTTGGTCTATTTCATTCATCCCCATGGCTTCAGTAATTCCTGACAACATCTGCCTAAGCCACCCAAGCCAGAAATCTGGGAGTCATTATCCTTCACTTCTCCCTTTCCAGTGAGTTGCCAAATCTAGTCAATTCTCCTTCCCAAGTAATTCTTGATTCCATGCCCTTTAAATCTCTTGACTGGACTATTTCAATTCCAAGTGTCAATTATTTTTTTCTTTTCTTTTTTTTAATATATTTTATTGATTTTTCACAGAGAGGAAGAGAGAGGGATAGAGAGTTAGAAACATCGATGAGAGAGAATCATCGATCAGCTGCCTCTTGCACACCCCCCACGGGGGATGTGCCCACAACCAAGGTATGTGCCCCTGACCGGAATCGAACCCAGGACCCTTCAGTCTGCAGGCCGACGCTCTATCCACTGAGTCCAACTGGTTTCGGCCCAAGTGTCAATTCTGCACCCCTTACCCTTCATTATCCACAAGGCTGCCACAGGAAAATGCAAATCAAGTCATTAGGTTAACAAAATTTTACTGAGTGGCCAGTTCATGTTCTGTGCTTTAGGGAGAGAGCAATAACAAAGCAAAGTTCCTAACCTTTTAGACCTTACACTGCAGAAAAGAGAGACAAACAAATAAGTAAATATATATTGAATGGTAGCAAATCTATAGAGGGAAAAGCAAGATTAGAGAGTGCCTGAGAAGAACTTCTGCTATCTACACTAATAAAAGAGCAACATGCTAAATGACTCTACCTTTGCGACACCTATCAGCCAATCAGGAGTATGCAAATAAACCCAGCAAAGATGGCAGGTTAATTTGCATGCACAGGCACCGAGTGGCCAGGGGTGGGACACTTATGTCGCAGCTGTTCTGCACCACCCCAGCCGCTCCGGGCCTCTGGGCAGCATGGGAAGGCAGAAGGGTGGCTCCGGCCAGAGCGAAGGGGTGCCAGCAGCCAGGGGAAGGAAGGCCCATTCTTGCACAAACCTTCGTGCATGGGACTTCTAGTTTTATAGAAGGTGATTAAGAAAGGCCTCGTGAGCGGAGCCCTGCAGGGAGTGAGGGAGTCACCACTGTGGATATCTTGGGGAATAATGTTCCAGGCAGAGAGAACAGCATATACAAAGGTTCTGAGGCAAGAGTGTAGGCAAGGTCGGAAGAACAGAAAGGAGGCAAGTGTGCTGAAGCAGAATAAGGAAGAATAGTGGTGGCACAGACAGCCAAGTGCCAGGGCTTTGTGGCCCTATGTAGAAATGGAAGCAAGGAAGTCATCAGAAGGTTTAGAGCAGAAATACTATGACCTCACTTTTAAGAAGGGTCCACTCTGACTGCTGTGTGTAAAATACACTGGTGATGGGTAAGGACGGAAGCAGGGAGAGTAGTCTGGAGGCTACTGCAGTAACCCTGGCTAGAGATGATGGCGGCTCAGACGAGGGTGGCCCCAATGAAAGTAGTAAATTAGTGGGAAAATTCTGGGAGGACATAAAGGGAAAAACAACAGTATTTCCTGATGGGTATAAGAGAAAAAGTAGTTATGAATGATTGAACTAACTAGCTCAAAGAATAAAGTTGTCATTCTCCGAGATGTAGAAAAGCAGAAGTAAATGCTGGAGACGGAAAACAGGAGTTAGCTTTTGGGGTTTGTTAAGTCTCAGATGCTGGTTAGTCATTACATGATGTTGAAAAAGTAGTTGGTATTCTTGCCTTTAGTATTATACTTTCATCAAAATTTTTCAGTAGTTCTACATCAACTCCAACTCCCTAGCAAGACGATTCTTGTTCTGGACCCCCATCTCTCTCATCATTCTCTCACACTCACACTATTGTCAGCCTTACTGAGGCAGCACAGTAAGGAGCTAGGAAGATTCCTTGGCAAGTGGAGTGGGTAAACTGAGGCAGATAGCTGAACAAACTGGGAAAGCAATTTACAGCCAGATACAGAAGGTCACCTTCCTAGGCCTCAGGTGTATTTCAGCTCCAAGCCTAGAAAGCAGCAAAATCAGGTGGATGACATCAGGACCAATTGTAATGACTAACAACCGCCTGCCCTGGTACTGACCAATCAGTAAGAACGTGACCCTGATGAAGCACACTTAGAAAATTAGTGAATATTCTACTAAAACCCTCTCCTGAGACCTCTCCTAAGATTCCCACCTACAACAGAGAAAAACCCTGAAGACAAAGGACCCCGCTCATGCTCCCCCCTTTGGGGAGCACCCCCTCGCCTTCCCCGTTCTCCTCCTCTTCCCCAAGAGGCACGCATCTCCTAAACGGTAAGGGTCCCCAAAGGACTTGCAACCAGGTAAGTCACATGTGTCAAACACAAGGCCCGCGGGCCAAATCCATCCCGCCAGGCCTTGCAATGTGGCCCGCACGGCGCTGTCATCACTGCACTCCGCTGCGTTTCCATCACAATGACCGTTTATGACTGTTCAGTAAACCATTCGGCCCGCGATTTAGGCTGGATTTTAGATTTTGGCCCCTTCTCTGATTGAGGTAAGTAATGGGAAATGGCTAACCCCTGAGCCTGTCTCCAAAGCCCCCTTTCCTCTGACCTCCCAGTGAGCTAGAGCAGCCCAGCCTAGGCTCTCCTTTGCTTTTGCCATGCTGAGCTCTTCCTTAGTTCACTGTTCTCAGCTTTAACAGATGCGCCTGGACTCACGCTGTGAAATTTTCACTGCACGAAGTCAAGAGCCCACACTGCAGGCTGGCCCTGGCAGGCAGACATGTTCCGGGCCAGGTCCCCTGCCCAGTAACATCACGAAACATTCTGCAGTTCCCACTGCTCCTTTGTATTCCCTTTCTTCTGCCTGGAATGCTCTGCCCAGACCTCATCTACCTAATTCCTTATCCAGAAGCAGCTCAATTATCACCTCCTATGTGAAGCCTTCCCTAAAACCCAGGCCAGCAGGACACCCCTCCATCTAAGCTCTAACAGAGTCTATCCCATATCTGTTATTAAAGCACTTTCCCCACTGTTTTCTAATTGTTTATATATCTGCCACCCCTAGTAGGCTACAAGCTCCTTAAGGACAAAATTGGCCATATTTAGCATTTTTATTGATCGCTCTGTCTTGTTCTCTTTAGTGTTTCCTTCCATGCAGCAAGTGCATTAGGGAAAATAAGCTAACACAAATTCATGAATATTTTGGTTTACTTATGGTAGTTA